AAAAATCTATTTACTCTTCATTAAGTGGAAGTGGATCATCATAAAGGTCTTCATCTATGTCTTGTTCACATTGAGGAGGCTGAGGAGAAGGAGGACGAAGAGGAGGAGTTGGCCTTGCTGTCTTAAGGGTGGCAGAGGTAGAAGAAAATCTACGTATACATGCACAGTTCAAATGAGTGTTGTTTAAGGATCAACTATACCTTTCATTTAGTTATTGGTTTCATTGGTTCATTTCATTGTTTAGGTTAATTTCATATTTTTTAGTATTTCAAAATTTCTGAGAATTTGGAGGAGCTCTCCAACTATATGCATTTCTATATTTCTCCCTGTAGTACTGTCAGTGGCTTCACATATGTTGAAGCACTGTTATGAGATACATCCATGTTTAGGACTGTTATGTCTTCCTTCCTGGTTGATTATTTTATCATTATGAAATGACCCTTTTTGTCCTGGAAATACTCCATGTCTTGAAATCTACCTGGTCTGATACTAATGGAGCCACATCAGCTTTCTTATGCTGAGGGTGTATGGTATATTTTTATGCTGTTTTATTTCTAATATGTCTATGTCTTTATAGTTAAAGTGCATTTCTTATGGATAGCACACAGTTGGGTTTGCTTTCTTATTCAATCCGACAACATATGTCATTTCACTGGAGCATTCGCTCTGTTTATTTTAAATTCAATTACTTAAATGATTGAGTTAGGTCTACCATTTTGCTATTTGTTCTCCATGTGTTCCATTCCTCTTTCGTTCAACTTCTCTTTTGTTGCCTTCTTTTTGGTCTTTTTTAATTTTGTTTTTCAGTGGTGGCCTACGGATTACTGTAGTCATTCTTAACTTATCACAGTCTATGTAGAATTAATGTGGTATTTTACATAAAATATGAGAATCTGGTGACAACATAATCCACTTGTTATCTCTGTCCTTCATTTTCTTATTATACATTTTACATCTATAAATGTTATATATACCCCAATAGAATGCTATTTTGCATTTCACAGTCATTTGTGTTTTTAAAAATTGAGAGAAGAAATACAGTATTTTATACATCTCCATGTATTTGCCATTTTTAGTACTCTGTTTGTTTCTGTCAAGTTAAGTTTTCACCTGGTATCATTTCCCTTTCAGCTAAAGAACTTCCTTTAGCATTTATTTTAGTGTAGGTCTGCTGGCAACAAATTTTCTTGGCCTCTATTTTATTTATCTTAAAATTTTTTACATTGCCTCCATTTTTGAAGGATATTTTTGCTGGATATAGAATTCTGGGTTGACCTTTTTTTCAGCACTTTTAAGACATTATTTTCCATTGTCTTCTGGCCTTCCTTGTTTCTTATGAAAAGTTAGCAAATTTTTGAATTATTTATCTCCTGTGTGTAATGTGTAGATAAATAACTCTATCTCCTGTGCAATCTCCTGTGTCATTATTCTCTGAATAGTTATAAGATTTTCTCTTTGTTTTGATATTCATCAGTTTGACTATGATGTGTCTAGGCATTCGTGTTTGGTTTTTGTTTTTGTTGTTGTTGTTGTTGTATTTATACTGCTTGTAGCTCACTGTGTTCATTGAATCTGTAAACATATGTTTTAAATCAAATTTAGAAACTTTGGGCCATTATTTTCTCCAGTTTGTATTTACTGCATTCTCTGTCTCCTGTCTTTCTGAGGCTCTAATTATATACACATTTGACTGCTTGATATTGCTCCACAAGTCACTGAGGTTCTGTTCTTTCTAGTTCCCACACTGGATATTAATCTGTATTCAAATTTACTTACCCTTTCTTCTACCATCTCTAATCTGCTATTCAGCCCATCTTGTGGCTTATTTTTTATTTCTGATCTTCTTATCTTTTGCTTTTCATTTCTAGCACTTAACGTTTGCTTATTACTCGTTTTCATTTCTCTGCATAGTTTTCTATCCACCCATTTCATACAACCATCTTTTTCCTTCAAGTCTTTGAACTTAATTGCCTTAGAGCCCTTATGTGCTCATTTCAAAATCGGGGTCATAATGGGGCCTATTTCTATTTGACTGCTTTTCCCTTGACCATGTGTCACATTTCTCTGGTTTTTCATCTGATTGATAATTCTTACTGTGTATTAGACATTGTGGATGGTACGTTGTGGAGCCTCTGAAGCAAGCGGGGCTTTGTTCTAGCGGGCAGTTAAATTACTGGCTGATCAGCTTGAACTTGCAGAGGCTTCGTTTTCCATTTTGTTAATATGGGTCTATTTTGACTTTGTCTATGGTCCAAAACAAATCTCTTAGTCCTGGAATATGGTCTTTACTCCAGGGTTTCAATGGAAAGCCTGTTTACCAAGCTCCTCTGACTTGGCAGTAGCTGAGGAATGTGCTCCATTCTTTTAGTTTTTCATCTATTGCTTTTCACTGAGCTTCTTAGAATCTTCCCCCACGCAAGCACACATCTAAAATTAGCCAATGATTTGAAGGTGAGCTGGAATTTGAAGCCAGGCAACCTGACTTGTGGCTTCCATGTGCTTAACTACCAGTAAGCACTAAGTTCTTCAGAGGAAAGGTAAAATGAACCCATCCTCTTGCCCAAAAGAACACCTGAATTTGTTCATTCTAAACATAAAATTTTGTTGACATTTGACATTGTCAAGTAACAGACAGAAGCACATAAATATAAAAATATTAGTGTTTTGTGAGCATCCACATATCCCAGACTATTCCATACATCACTATGTATTAAGTCATTCAGTCCTTACAACAACTCTATGAGGTAGGCATTATCATTATACCCATTTTTCTGATAAGAAAACTGAGGCACAAGTCATTTGAGTAATTTTCTTGGTTGCAGTGCAATGATAGGATCTCACACAGCCTGGCTCCAGAGCCTCCAAGTTTCAAAACTGCATTATACGGCCAAGTGGGGCTGAGTTAAGTATCCGTTTTCCGACCCACCAAACAGTGTAGTAGCTCCTGGTGTGAATCTAGGACAGAGCAAGGATGTGATCTTTCTGTTCTCACTCTAGGAAAGTCTTTGTTCCTGCTGCTGAGAGATTTTGTCTTGATACCAGATAAGTGATCTTTGCATCTATTAGAATGATCACAGACTGACGTTGTGTGGACCGCAAAATGCTGGGTGTCAAATTATTAAAATGTGGAGCACCACATTCACCCACCTGGGCCACTTCGTGTCAGAGTGCCTGACACACACCTCATTAAGCTTCACCTTTCTTGTGTATATAACTGATTAATGAAAGACCCAGAGGTCTCAGGAGTGGGAGCCATTCAATTAAAAGTTGTGTGCAGTGAGGCCACCGTGTCCCAGTGTGACTGACAGAGCAGCTATCTGCATTGCAAAGAAGTATTTGCTTTTCATTAACCACAGGCAAGTGGGACAGGACGCTTGCGCTGGTACGTTGGCGGCAGGAAGCTGGAGTGCCTGACTGTGCCATGTGAGCCGCAGAACACGGGCCGTGGCTCGAGGGCAGCAGAATATGGTTCGTGGCATTTGCGGGAGAAGGTGAAATAACAGAAGGGCCTGATTCCTCATGGAGTCTTCCTAGAGAGAAGTCCTGTTACCAAGTTAATCTCGAGAGGCTAAATCAGGAAACTACTGGGAAATACGCGTCATTTCTCACTTCAGGCAGGTCGTATTCGCCTCACTCACAGCACTGTGGAAGCACGCAGGGAAAATGAGTCTCTGATTTGTTGCACAACCGTAAATTCAAATCCATTTTGTGATCATTGCATTTGGAGGATTTCTTTATTTTACACACAGTGACTAATAGAATAATGAGTGCGGGGTGAGGGGAAGCGTTTCCTTTTTAAGAAATGCGTTTACAAGTAAATGACTATTATTTCAGATTCCCTATACTACTAAAGCTATACATAGAAAAGAATATACTTATCTTGGAAATATAAGGAATATTTGTCTAACCAATTAATAAATATTTGACAAATGATGAACATGCAATAAGCATTTCACAGGTAAAAGAATTTATAAGGCAGGGCTGTTGCCCATCACCCACCCCAGGTACCAGTCTCCTTGAGTCTGTATAACAGTAAATCAGGGCACAGAGGAGCGGGAATGGCTTTTTCTGACCTCTGCCCTGGAGTCAGGCACACGCTAAGGCGTTTTACACATACTTTCTCTTTTAATTGCATCAAAGCTCTCATGAGGTAGGAATTAACATCCCCATTTTACAGATGAGAAAACTGACACTCAGAGTGCTGAATTTCAACAAAAATGCAAAAGAACCAGAGGACTGACCTCTGGATTTCAGTCCAGGTTGGGCCCCAAGACCATCGCATGGCACCCCAGCTGGCCTCTGGGGAAGCCTCGGCTCCGCGTGCCCCTCCCTGTGGGAGGCTGTGCCCTCCACAAGACACAGGGATAAGGCTCTTCCTGGGCCAGCGAGTCTGCTGGGAGTATCCCAGTGTGAGACGGTGAAGCAACTGAAGGCCATTCTGCTTCTTCCTGCATCCCCCTTGCCAGTGAGACTGCCCCCCACCCTCCAGACTTCTCATTAGAGAGGCAAGGGGAGGCCAGGGCAGGGCGCAGGGTAGGAGGCTGGACCAGAGGACGCTTCAGCGGCCCCCTTGGTCCTGGGCAAGGGTCCTCTCTGCCCCCGGAGGTTCGTAGGTTCTGCTTTCCTGCCCTCTGCTTGGCGACCTGGCGCCTGAGGGCTGAGTTAGAGTGAGGACCTGGGAGAATGGGGCCAAGGCAGTGTCTGCTGTAGAACACGTGGCTCACAGGGGTCTGCAGCATCTGGACAAAAGGGACCCTCAATGCCCTTGTGCCCCTGTACCACCCACCCAGCTCAGTACCACCACCCGGCTCCTCGGTGGGCTCACAGCCAGCAGCCTATGGCAGCACACCAAGGGCTCTCGCCCAGATGTGGTGTGTGGTGGTGTGGACGGCGAGTCTAGGTGTCCGCAGGGGCGCCTGGCCAGTTTCTGTAGCTCGTAGAAGGAATATTCCTCATAGAAGACTTCTCTTCCTGATTAATAACCCAGACAAAGACATTGCTGCTATTTGTGGATGATTGTATTTAAAAAAACACACACACACACACACACACAGATGTACAATTAGTGTAATAAATATGTTAGTCTCGTTTTACAAGGTGGATATCAGTAAGGATAATGCAAGGCCTACACCTGGCCACCAAAACAGGGCTGATCAAAAAGGAGGGGGAGAGAAAAGAGAGGAGCAAGGACAGGGGGAAAGGGACGCAGGATTTAGCGACTCCGGTGCAGCCTCAGGTGTGGACATGGTGGGAGGCCAATGCCCTGAGTCTTGAGCGGGTCATCCGTGAAGAGGCCAGACTCCGCTTCCACTGTGTGTGGAGGCAGCTGCAGGCTGAGGAGGGGCGTGCACATAGGCTTCAGAACCTTTTGTTCTTTACATAGACTTTATTTTTCAGAGCAGCTTTCAGTTCCTGGCGAAAGGGAGGAGAAAGTGCAGACAGCTCCCACATAACCTGTTCTCACATAGGCAGGGCCTCCCCACTCTCCACGCCCCACCGTGGGCCACACCCACCATGTGCTACAGTAAGGAACCCAGACCGACACCTCACTAGCGCCCAGAGTCCGTCAAAACCCGCTGTCGGTGGGGGTGCAGGCCTCTGCACGGCCAGTGAGGCCTCTGCCGTTGTTTCCACTGCCTGGAACATCCGTGTCAGTCCTGGGAGGCCACGTCAAGCCAGACACCGGGGAGGGGCCCAGGTGGGGAGGGAGACCTAGACCCCCACACATGGGAAACGTCTCGGAATTCAGACACATGCACCCGCAAAGAAAGAAGGAGAAAAAAGAACACGAAAGAAAGGCCCTAGGCCACGGTGGGCCATGTAGCCGGGTCCAGCGGTGTCAGAGGCTGCCGTGGGAAGGGGACTCCCAGGAGGAAGGAAACGAGGGCCAGGCTTCTCCAGGACCCGGGATACACATCCCACTCCACCTGTCCAGTGACGACAGGGAGCACCCCACGGGGGGAGCGTCAGGCTGTGGAGGCCCCGGGCGCTGTGTCAGCCAGGTGTGGAGACACAGTCTGCAGGCTGTCAATCACCGAAACCACAGCGTGGCATTCGCAGGTGTTCTGTAGCGGGGACGATGCCGGACCAGGGCTTGATGCCACAAGCATTCAAAATGTTTAGGCAACCCGGAAACACTCGGGGTGGGGGCGATGGAGGTGCCTTGGGAAGTTAAGAATGGCTTTGGACACAGGCTTCTCCAAGCTGGCCAGAGTCCGTGCCACCTGGCGAGAATTCATTGGCCCGGTGTGGTGGGCAGAGGGCTGGGGAGGAGACGGGGCTTCAAGAGTTAAGTTCAGGTGGTTTGTAAGCCTGACGCCCCCCACCATCCAACACCTTCCCCTTGAACACAGTCTGGAGAAGCACTAATCGCATCGACATGTTCCTGTTACTAGCACCAGCCTGCCCCCGACACACACACACACAAACACACTTACACACGCACACTAACACACACATGCACACTAACACACACACGCACACTAACACACGCACACTAACACACACATGCACACTAACACACACATGCACACTAACACACGCACAAACACACACATGCACACTAACACACACACGGACACTAACACACACATGCACACTAACACACACACGCACACTAACACACACATGCACACTAACACACACACGCACACTAACATACACTCACACAGGTGCACACTAACATACACGCACATGCACGCACACTAACACACATGCACACTAACACGCACATGCGCGCACACTAACACGCACACATGTGCACACTGACACATGCTCATATGCACTAACATGCACGCGCACATGTACACACACTCATACACACACTCTCACATACACTGACACACACATTGACCACATATACCATACACATACATGCATGTCCTGTCCTAGTTACTCTGCCCAGTCTTTCCTGTGAGCCGCTGCATCCCAGCTCCTCTCTGGTTCTTTGCTCTGCTTCAGTTTACCTCCCATCCCACCCAGGGTCAGCCCAGCCAGGCTTCTCTTTGTAGTATACCTCTGCCCTTCTTTTGATGATCATTTATGGTTTATGTCCAGCTAATTGCAGTGAGGACTTGAAGTAACCTCTGCAAGTACATAAAAGGTATTACAAGGAAATAGAAACTTAAAATATAATTTTTCAATAGTGGAAATGCAGGCCAAAGTGTCATATGAACTATTTAAACAGAATCCAAGTGACCACAGTATGGGAAAGTGAACCCTCTCCCCCTGCAAATAGGCCTCACTCCCCCGTACCCTCCCTAACCCCGCAGCACCTCACTCAGCGTCGCCCATTCAGACACAGGCAGCTGCACCCTCTACAGGCAGGGACCATGTCTCCCAACTCCCAGACACCCCTGCCTCCTACCACAGAGCTCTCAGATGCACCGTAAATACGTGTGGGATGAATGAATGAGTGAATGAGTTTCAGCTGAGACACAGCAGCTGAAAAAAACAAGTAGCTGTTTTATTCCTGCAGTTCTCCTTGGCAAGCAAAATAGGATTCTTTCAGAGAGAACCTCCAAAATGTCCAGGGGTCATCTGGGCAGAGCATCTTCATAACTCATGCGTGCCGAAACACAAACAGGTTTTAATTGTTGAGCATTATCCCCTGAGAATCTAATTCTGATGGTGAAGGTTTGACAGTGTTTCTTTGGAAAATACAAAAGATCAGTCCCATAAAATGCATGTGGATGGAGAGGTCTTTAGTTCTTTGCTAGAACTTGCTAGCATTTGAAAAAGCACACGGTGGCGATTTGTCTTTATTTCATAATTGACACAAAACAAAAACCCTCTAGTGATATTTGATAGGAGCGAAGAGCCCTCTACTGGCAGGCGAAGGGAACTATCCAACAGAACTCTGGAAAGTTCAATTATGAATTAATTAATGTAATTGTCCATGACCTCAAACTATCTGTGGGTAATTTCAATGAAGCCTTTTCATAGCTAAATGAAAATTAGAAAAGCAAAGGATACCATTTTTCATTAGCAAATTGGCAGAGAGTTTTTTATTATTAATCCTTGTTGAGGAGAAGAGTGTGGAAAGCCAGAGCCCTCATTTATTCCTGGGGACAGTGTAAACAGATGGAACCCCAGGAGGGCACTGCGGCAGCACACGCAAAAACGACACGCACAGAACGTCCGGGCGCCTCCAGCTGGAAGCCTCTCCTGGCAGTCATTCTAAGGAAATTCTCAGCCAGGTGCCCTAAATAAATACTATTTGGAGTAGTAAAAGATGGAAACCATCTATACATTCAAAAACAGGGGATTAATTAGAACCCTAAACCTGGTGCTTCCTGTTAAAATTGATAATGGAGAAATAACTTTCATATGACATGAACAAAGCAGCCCATAAAGCAGTATGTGTTGAACAAGATCCCATTTTCGTAAAGGATCTGTAAGGACAGGAAATGTTCGACGGTTGATTCTAGGTGGAGGGAGAAAAGGTGTTGTTTATGCCATTCTGTATATTCTGAGATTTTTACTAAAGAACACTGCTTTTCCGCAAACTGTAAGAGCAGATCTTATTCCCAGCAGAGGTGCCTGCAAACATTTCTTGTGTGGCCTGCACACTTTCTGCAGCAGCAGCCACCCTGCCCTCTGGTGTCTGTGGTGCAAGGAAGATGAGCCCTTCTCCTCCCAGCCCATCCTCCTGCCTTCTGTCCCTAGCCCATGCTATCCGCAAACATTTCCTGGGCACTGACTACTCCAGTGCCACATCCTCCCCAGGCTTACTGTCTGCCCGTCTTTCTGCAGGAGCTCTCCCTGTCACCTGGCTCTGTTCCCTCCACTCCCTGCCAAGGCCACAAGTGACCTCCTCATTACCAAACTCTCTGGCCAGCATGGGCCACCGTTGGCCGCCCCCCTCCCCCGCTTGTTGGCCCCCTGGTTTCGAGGCTGGCTATCCCTCCAGACCCGTCCCTTCTCTCCATAGCTGCTGCCCCTTGGCAGCCCAGACCTCCTCCTCTATCATCGTCTTCCCTGTGTGGCCCTGGGCTCTCTGCCACCCTCTCCTGGCCTCATCCACTGTCCCCCTTTACTCGGGAATTCCTTCCATCCACTCGAGGCGTCCACTGCTGGTGGTTTGCTGTGGCCTTGGAGGCCTTTCCGGCCCTTGCCTCTCTCCTCCTCTCTGGCCCCAGCAGCCCTCCCTGCCTGCCCCACTGTGCGGGGGCTCATGGCAGCCGACACTGACCTCATTACCATCCTCTGCACATCTAGCATCGAGCCCCCTCCCGCAACCCACAACCCACTGTTATCGAGTCTGGCCAGTCCTGCCCTCCCCATCCCGCCCTGCCTATCCCCTGCTGCATACTCTCATCTTCTCCCTGCAGCAGCCCCGCAGCACCTCCCTGCCTGGGCCTTGTCCTCACTGTGCCACCGCCCACACCTGCCTGCTCCCCGAGGCCGGCACAGCTCCCACCACATCCTCCTCTACACACTCCCCAGAGGGATTTTTCTGTAACATAAAAAGGATCAAAGTTCTTGATTTAAGTCTTTTCCATGCCTTCCACAGCCTCTAGGATACAAGCAACCTCTGTAGCGTGGCCACGCACTTTTCTGACCCCTTCCAGAAGTGCCAGGCACTCCCCGTGTGCCCCAAGTGAGGACACCTCACCCTGTGCCCTGACTCCTGGCCTGAGCAGGGCGCTTCCCCCCACTTCAGACCATCTGATCTTCTGGAGACCTTGGAAGGCCTGTCTGCTTTAACCGCTATCTGTGGTCTCCATTCCTAGTTCCCCCCACCTGCCCACTTCTCCCCCTTTCTGTCGTTGGTGGCCCTCACTGACATCCTGATTTCCTTGGAACACCCTCAACCTCAGGTCTGCTCTCTCCTACCACAGGTGGGCTCCTGGAGGTCAGGGACCCTGCATTATTACTCTTTGTGACCTTGGCACCTAGCACAGTGCCTGGCACATCAAAGCTCTTCTGTAAACGTCTTATAAAGGAAGAAATGAAAGAACAGCCTTCATTCTACATTCAGGGCCAAACTTAGCAAAACCTTTCTTCCCCATGGCAGTCTTTCACGCATTTGAAAACAGCAAACTTACCTGCCTCCAGTCTTCTCTTCTCCAAGAGAAGCAACCTCTGTCCCTTTCATCCCTCCTGGACAAAGCAGCTTCCACGTGACACTGCCTCAGTTTCCATGCCTGTCTTCTCTGTGGTCAGACCTGAACATGGTCACCAGGGGTCCCGCGACCAGCAGCCCCCCTCAGCTTCCCCAGGGGAAGGTCAGGAAAGCCAGAGATCCGAGCTCTGGAAGGCAAGACAGTGATGGCTTTAGGATTCTTCCTGCTAGGATGAAAGATGGTAGCGGATGATACAGGTCAAGGGTAGAGAAACACTTTAGAATAGGCATCCCGTCTCCCCTGGCAATGTGGTGGCCATGCAAGGCCTTGTGGGTGCTGGGCAGACCCAGATCCCACTCCCACCTCCAGCACTTACCAGTTGCTGAGCCAGCACGTGACTCACCCCTCACCTGGCTCTGCCTCAGCAGCCTCATCTGTGAAAGGGCAGAGCCGCGGGGTGTGGTTGGCACTCATGGAGCATGTATCCAGCGAGGATGGAAATGGTGTCCTGGACGCCAGAGCACTTGGCAAACAAACGTTAGTTGTATTGTTATCTTCATCCGAGAACACTCTTGGAAAGCGTTTTCTGTTTTGTTTGGTAATAATTGAGCCCTTCCAAACCACATCACTCCAGAGTGCCCCGTACAACCTGTGTGTCCCCAAAGCTGGTGAACTAGGGAAAGGAATTCCTTCACAGGTGTGTGTTAAAAATACAGGAAGCATGGAATTCCCCCATTAGTTCTGAAGGAGCTCCAACTTAAAGGAACAATCACTGACGTCACAGTCAACAGAACGGTGCCACCGTTTTCAAAACAACTGATTTAGAATCAGATGCTGGAAACAAGATTGTGAGTCTCAAATCATTCCAAGTTAGTATGATTCCTGTTTCAAGGCTGCGCAGCTTCGTTTGTTAAGAGCAGAAAGAGAAAAGTTAATGCTGAAATTCTTGGTATTCACATCTGCAATTCCCATCTGGGTTGAGAAAATAGAGGTCCCAATAGGAACTATGGAAAACCCATTGCTTGCCACGTGGACATCGTGCGAAGTAATCCACAGCAGCCACGAGTGCAGTCAGCTAAGACGAGAGATGGTTGTTTTTGTTTGTGTTTTTAACTTTTATTTCAGGGGTATGTGTGCAGGTTTGTTACACAGGTAAACTTGTGTCACAGGGGTTTGTTGTATAGATTATTTCATCACCCAGGCATTAAGCCCAGTACCCAGTAATGATTTTTTCCACTCCTTTTCCTCCTCCAAACCTTCACCCTCAAGGAGGCTCCAGGGCCTGTTGTTCCCTTCTTTGTGTCCATGTGTTCGCACTGTTTAGCTCCCACTTATAAGTGAGAATAAGTGGTATTTGGGTTTCTGTTCCTGCATTAGCTTGCTAAGGATAATGGCCTCCAGCTCTATCCATGTTCTTGCAAAAGACGTGGTCTTGTTCTTTTTTTATGGCTGTATAGTATTCCATGGTGCATATGTACCACATTTTCTTTATCCAATCTGAAGAGACAGTTGTTGATGTGAAGATGATTTCTCCATTGATTTCAATTCTAAAACTAAGATTCTTAAGAGGTACTGAAAAAAATAAGGTCTTGTCTTTGTTATTACAAATTATCTTTTCTCTAAGAAGTGTAAACCTTTTTACATACAACGTCTCATGTTCTTATTTACTTTTGGGCTGAAAGTAGGGAAGCTTTTGACTTAAAATAGCTGTAAGGGAACAGTGGCCCCTTGGAACTTGCCCCCTCCTCGCTCTTCAGCTCTGTCCCTTGGCAGCAGTGCCCAGGCCCTGTTGGAAGGAAATTGGGGGCTTGCACCAAGGAGCTGAGAGAATGGAAGACTTGGAGTTGAAAGGGATTAGGAAGTGCCATGAATAGACTGTGGGGTTGTTAGGCGTGGGGAATGAGACGAGGGTGGATACCCAGGCCTCTGGCTTGGGTAGGAGCAGAGTCACACAGGGAACCGGCAGGAGGCAGGATGGAGGGAGGGAAGGTGGCCTCCTGAGGCTTCCCATTCCATGTGGGAATGGGAACCTCCGGCCTGGAGCTCTGGATGTGCATTTGGGTGTGGTCAGCACGTAGACACCAACTGAAGCTACCAGAGTGGATGAGATTAGCCCTCAAGGTGGTATTGAGAGAGTGCAGAGAAACCAGGGCAGGGTCTTTGGGCACCTGTGCCTAAGCCAGCGCATAATAGACATCTCTGCTTCCGGGTGGGGCTTCCTGACCGTGGCTGCTCTTCAGCATCATCTGGGGAGCTTTAAAAACTGCGGATGCCGGACGACACCCCAGTCACACTAGAATCTCCAGGACTGGGACCTGGAGGTCGTATTTTCCAAAGCTCCCCGGGTGATCCCAGTGAGAAGCACGGAACTGTCAGTGAAAGAAAGAGGCTTTGTACTCGGTCCCTCCTCTCTTACCTGCTACTGTGAGACTCCGCGCACAGGGATCTCTTTTCTCCAACTTTCAAGCACGTGTTGTTGTCAACACCACCTGGTGCTGTTGCTCCTGACTGGGTGCGCTTCCCGGTTGGAGTGACCCTGTTCGGACAGGACCCATCCCGTTCCTCTTCCTGCCCTTGCTACTCTAGCGGAGGGTATGGTGCCCAGCCGGGATCAGTATAGCTCAGTTCAGTGTACAGCGTCGAGCTCCATTTCCAAAGGCCCTTGAGCACGCCCTGCATTTTCTCCTGGATTTCCCTCCTGCCGCGACTTTCTGCTGCACACTGACCAGAACTCAGAGGCCCCTTGGAATCTACATTTTATGCAAAAGCTTTCTTTGTAGAAGCACAGAATGTTTAAGCTAGAGAATCACGTAATACTTTGCTGTGATCTACCAGAGAGCTGATTTTATTAAGCTTTTTTTAAAAAAATCAAAGATGAAGAGAGAAGAGGAGAGAGTTCCTTTTTCCTGTAGCATTTTGTCTGTTTCATTGATGAAAGCTCGGGGGCAAAGCACCCGGCTTGGTGTTTCTCCTCATCAGCTAGTCTTCTCGGCTAGGCTTTGAAATAGACTTGCTTCTCAAGTCCACTGGCAGGTGCTATAGGTAATAACCTACGCATTGATTTGAGATTTCAGATTTTGATTTTTTTTTTATTTTTTTATTTTTTGCCATAAGTTATTAGGGTACAGGTGGTATTTGGTTACACGAGTAAGTTCTTTAGTGGTGATTTGTGAGATTTTGGTGTACCCATCACCTGAGCAGTATACACTGCACCCTATTTGTAGTCTTTTATCCCTCACCCCCCTCCCACTCTTCCCCACAGGTTCCCAAAGTCCATTGTGTCATTCTTAGGCCTTTGCGTCCTAGTGAGAATATATGATGTTTGGTTTTCCATTCCTGAGTTATTTCACTTAGAATAATAATCTCCAGTCTCATCCAGGTCATTGCAAATGCTGTTAATTCATTTCTTTTTATGGCTGAGTAGTATTCCATCGCATATACATACCACAGTTTTTTATCCACTCATTGACTGATGGGCACTTGGGTTGGTTCCACAATTTTGCAATTGTGAATTGTGCTGCATGTGCAAGTATAAACATCCATGTGCAAGTATCATTTTCATATCTTTTCCTCTGGGTAGATACAGTAGTGGGATTGCCGGATCAAATGGTAGTTCTACTTTTACTTCTTTATAGAATCTCCACACTGTTTTCCACAGCGGCTGTACGAGTTTACATTCCCATCAGCAGTGTAAAAATGTTCCCTGATCATGCCAAAAAATAAAATCCTAGTGGCAAGGCCAAAATAAAATGCCCACGAATGCAGGTCACCCCTACATTTAGCAAAAAGAAGGGTAGGAGGTCTGGTGCTCTAGGTTGCAGTCAGCCAAGATCGCACCCCTGCACTCCAGCCTGAGTTTGATATGTTGGCGTGCTTCTGGGGTCTTGCGTCCCTTCTCCCCTGATTCTTCCCTTGGGGTGTGCTGTCCGCATGCACAGTGGCCTGCCAGCACTTAGGAGGGAACATACACAGTGTATTTACTGGTATCTGACGTAGAAGTGATGGCCCATGAAGGAAGAGGGCAAGGCCTCTGGGATTTAAAGATGAGGGTTTGGGTTTTGTTAGCAGCAAAACGTATCCAAGTCATGCGGCACCGAAGTATGTTAGTAGTGGCAAATCCATACAGGCCTGCAGCAACCTCAGTTCTCGCCTCCTCAGAAGAAAGAATTGGACCAAGGAGGCAGAAGGAGAGACCAGGCTCGGCAAGTTTGAGAGCAGGAGTGGAAGTTTATTAGAAAGCTTTAGAGCAGGAAGGAAAGGAAGGAAGGGATACTTGGAAGAGTGCAGGGTGGGTGACTTGAAAGACAGGTGCACTGGCCGGGCGCGGTGGCTCACGCCTGGAATCCCAGCACTTTGGGAGGCCGAGGCGGACGGACCACTTGAGGTCACGAGTTCAAGACCAGCCTGGCCAAAGTGGTGAAACCCCCGTCTCTACTAAAAATACAAAAACTAGCCAGGCGTGGTGGCACGCCCCTGTAAACCCAGCTACTCGGAAGGCTGAGGCAGGAGAATCGCTTGAGCCCGGGAGGCAGAGGTTGCAGTCAGCCAAGATCGCGCCACTGCACTCCAGCCTGGGTTTTATATGTTGGCGTGCTTCTGGGGTCTTTCGCCCCTTCTCCCCTGATTCTTCCCTTGGGGTGTGCTGTGCGCATGCACAGTGGCCGGGAGGGAGCATGCGCAGTGTGTTTACTGGAGCTATGCACATGCTCACTTGAGACGTTCTTCCCTTACCAGTCGAATGTCCCTGGAAGGTCCTAGACCACTTAAACGCCACCATTTTGCCTCTTAATGCGCATGCTTGAACCCACTGGCCCAACCCCTGAGATTTTATTGGGAAGCTGCTGATCACCAGCTTCCGGTGTTTCTGTTTATCGGGAGACTGCCTTTCGCTAGTGCAGGCTGTGACCAATGATTATAGAGACAGTAAACAACCTCCTACCCGTCATGGGATGGTCACCTGACATTGCTGGTGTGTGTATGTATTGGAAGGAGCCCTCTCCTGCCCTGCTCATGCCCGACTAGCTCCCCACTGTAACATGACCACCTACTCATCTCTGGGGCCTCAGTTCTCAGCTCCGAAGCAGAGGTCCTAGGGCTGGCCCCTCACAGTGGTGGTGAGAGTAGATGAGGGAACCCATGGAGGCTGCCTTAGGTGCCAGCACAGAGTCCAGCCCCCAGCCTGGCCTC